GAAAGATGGTCACAGGTATGTAACCTACCATTATTCTAGCTGAGTCTAGGGAAGATAAATGTACAGGCAGTCTCTGAGTTACAAACATCTGACTTACAAATGACTCATATTTAAGAATAGAGGTGAGACAACAGGAAGTGAGAGAAATCTACTCCTAGGAAGATAAATTCACTCAGGAAAAGTTATCATGGGGAAAAAGTGTCTCCACTGAAGCTTTATCACCAACCCTTGTTTCCACAACAAGCCAATTTTTTCAAAATCTAATTATCACAGGACAGAAAGTACAGTGAAATCTTCTGAACAGGGGCATAGACAGCAAAGCAAACATCACAGGGGAGCTAACTTGCTCCTATTCTATCCAAAGCTTGTGTGTGTATATTAGGCCTGTTTGATCAAGAAAAAATGTGTTTCTAAAATCGATTTGTAATTGGGGTGTTTTTTTGTTTCGATATTTAAAATAATTACAAAACTTTCCAAAAAAGTTTTGGTATTTACGAAATTTCGTAAATATTAACAAATTTTTAGAATATTTTTTGTATTTTTTAAGAATAATATTAAAATAATATTAAAAATAATTTAGTAGAATAGGGAGGAGAAATTAAGGGAAGGCAGGCACTCACTCTGGCGGGCCTCTCGCTCGCCGCTCGCCCTCTCGCTCGCCCTCTCGCTCGCCGCCCGCCCCTCGCCCGCTCGCCCTCTCGCTCGCCCTCTCGCTCGCGCTCGCCCTCTCGCTCGCCGCTCGCCCTCTACTCGCCCTCTCGCTCGCCGCTCGCCCTCTCGCTCGCCGCTCGCCCTCTCACTCGCCCTCTCGCTCGCCGCTCGCCCTCTCACTCGCCCTCTCGCTCGCCGCTCGCCCTCTCGCTCGCCCTCTCGCTCGCCGCTCGCCCTCTCGCTCGCCGCTCGCCCTCTCACTCGCCCTCTCGCTCGCCGCTCGCCCTCTCACTCGCCCTCTCGCTCGCCGCTCGCCCTCTCACTCGCCCTCTCGCTCGCCGCTCGCCCTCTCACTCGCCCTCTCGCCGCTCGCCCTCGCCCTCTCGCTCGCCCTCTCGCTCGCTTGCTCAGCCGGCGCGGAGAGAGGAGAGCTCCCAGCAAGCCAGGCGGCCATCTTACGTATTTCCGAAATGGACGGAAATACAAAATTTTTTGGCGCCTGCCGTTTCGATATTTAAAAACCCTTCCGGGTTTGAAAATATGTTTTGTTATCGTTTCGTATATGCAAAAATTAACGAATGTTTAACGAATTAACGAATTAACGAACGAAACCGCACAGGCCTAGTGTATATATATATTTCTGTTGTTACACTTAAAAAGTACCTCTTCCGACTTACAAACGAATTCAACTTAAGAACAAACCTACAGAATCTATCTTGTTCATAATTTAGGGACTGCATATATATTAAATGTCCTATGGGATGCTACAAATATTGTCTTATTCTTAAAGGATTTTAAAACATTGCCTCACTTGTCCTGTTTTGAATGCTTAGATCATTTCTCATTAAAAATATCGCACTGCAATTCCACTTTAATTATGATGGGTTCATTCTGGTGAATCCTGGGATTTGCAGTTTATAGACAAGCATTTAGAACATTCAGCCAGAGATCTAGTGTCTTACTAATCTACCATCCCCATGATTTTGTAAGATGTTGTCACAGCAATTAAAGCGGCATAAAACACTATAATTCCTTAGGCTTCTTCATAAACAGCAAAAGCGAGGATTCCATAGGATGTTGCCAGAGCAGTAAAAATAGAATCATAGTACTACAACTATGTAGTGTGAAAAGGCCCCTGGCCAAATTTCCTGATATGTAATGACTCTTCCCTACAGATCACACACTTGAGATTCTGGAAATTACAGTGCCCCAAAAAATTCGTTATGCTTCCAGTAATCATCTGATTGGATACAGTAACTGTTGGAATAGTTATTAACAGCTGGATTGCTGAAGCATATTGATAGGAGGGATGAAAATCAGGCTTTTTCTTATTTACTGCACAGCAAGGGTCATTTAGTCATGGGCTATAACAAAAATACTTCTGTTGGCAGATTTTGTATCTGACTTTCTCAGCTATCGGTGCATTTGTGAGATCATTTAAAATCAAGCTTTGAACCTGTAAGAAAAGGGCAAATTGGTTTAGAAGACCCTCTTTAACATATTTAATCAAACGAATGGATAAAATATTAATCTGGACTCTTCTATTCTGTGCCCATCATCAAAGTGAATAAAGATACATTTAATAGCACATGGAAACATATAAAAGATTTTTACCAGGCTAGGCAAGACCTTCTTGGAACAAACATTTTGACCTAAGGGTTTTTTTTTCACTCTTGAGCTTTTGAGTTTTTGATATTATAAAATCTTTTAAGGCTCATGCCATGTATCGAGGTCCTAAAGCATGCCCCATGTAGTAGCCAAGGTCTCTGAAGCAGCTTAATGATCAGCCATTTTTCTTCAATATTACTCTATACAACATTCTGAGAGTCAATCCTTTGTCAGACATCGCAAAAAGCCATTAAGTCTAATTGCACAATTTGTCACATCTTTCCATTTGGCAGGGCACAAAACTAAATGAATGTAAAATAGTTTTAAAGATCTACATGGGCTCATTGTCCATATTCTGACTTTTGCTGTCAATTCTTACTATGTCCTAAAAGCAGTCCACACTTGCACAGAATCTGCTTTCATCCCCTCAGTTGATTTCCAAACCTTTTGAAATTTGTAATTTCCTCCTTTGAAATTACCATGTCAGAAGAGCTGTCATATGATACATTTCTGCCATTATTTCATGATGGTCAGAGCCCCTTTGGAATTAACTTTAGGGGAGATTTCTCCCATAACAATGAACAATTCTGAGCAGGGAATTTTCTGCTTTCTGGGGGCCCATCCAAACAGGCCTTAAAAGCAAGATATGTCTCAGGTTTACCGGAGGGATCCAAACAACGCCATCAGTAAAACTGAAAAAAATTAGTTTCCCCTGCTTTGTTCTGAATTAAACTCTGGGTAAGATCCAAATCTTATGGTAAGATCTGAATTGTATGGCAAGATCCTGATCTTATGGTAAGATCTGAGTCTTACCAGGTGTGGGCCCTGTGTGGATTGGTCTGGGGATTGTGTGGCTCTATAGTACCCATCTCACTGCCCATCTTGGCTCCCCTTTCCATGATGATGTCATCATTGTATTTAGAAACAGGCAAGAGAAGATTCCCCTCATATGTTAAATTGTGCATTTTTACAATTCTCTATGGTGGAGAATGGAAAAATAAGTCAATTGCCAATTGACTTAGGAATTGTGGGGAAAACCCACACTATAGAAACTGTGAAATACATAGAATCCACAGTTGAGGCTTGTGTCATGTGATGGACTCCGTGGGTTGCAGATTCTTAAATGTGTAGAAACATTGAATTTATGGTGTGTGATGAAGTCATAGTTCCACCAGTGAGATTCTATGGTATACTTCCAGCCCAACTATAATCAAAACATAGGGTTGGCTGATATCCATGATTTCAGGTATCCACGATGTGGTTATGTTTTTGATTGTGCCTGTACATAAGTGATTCAAAAGAAAGAAGCTGTGTATTTCAGTTGACATTATTATAAAATAATGTATTGTTTTATTGTCTTCTTCCCTTCTTCTCTTATATGCAGGACCAACTCCTCAACTATTTTTACCACAGACCCCAGCAATCTCACCTGGAGTCCCAGCTTCTGCAGGCAAGTTCAACTTTCTCTCTTCAAAGATTCTAAATCTTTTATTATAGTTCTTCTAACTTTCTCATAATATTCTTGAACTGAGCTACAGAATAGAACACAGCTTTCAATCTGTGTGTCTTCTATGCAACCTACTGCCTACAAATTCCCTTTCTCTTCTCTTCATTTCTTTGGATATTATATAATATCTGGTAAACAGCTAAATACTTTATCATCTTCTGAAGTATTCAATTGCAGCCTACACTGTGCTACTGTTCCAAAATCAACAAATGGTAAAACGGCCAAGGTGTGATTGTGGTAAAGGCATAAAGTGTACATTACACTTCCTTCAAAGAATGGCACAATGAGGACGTAATGCCTTTCAAAACAAAAACAGTGCAAACTGCTGTGAAGTCATTCAGTCACATTACAGTGTAACATAGTAAGCTCTCTATGGGAACACAGATTTGTCATGGACAAAGAAAAATCAAACATTGTTGATGTTCACAATTTGATAAATATAAAAATAGGAAAGCATGCTCAAAGAGACCATGGTAAGAAAAAAAAACTATACATGTTATTCATGACCATTTACTGTAATTCTATTTCATTTGTTAGTATTAACTAGAGTACAGCCATTAAATTGATGTAGTTGTATGTTTTCTGTATGTGTTGTATTGTTGACTTAGCTCATTTTCATTGATTGTGTAGGTCGGATCTAGATGGGATTAATGTTTCACATCTATTAAAATGTTGACATAAGTTGAGTAATATAGATGTTAACTCCTCGTCCCTTCTGCATTTTCATTTATACATACACTTTGCAAGCATACCCCCTTCTAAAATAAGAATCTTAAATATATTATTATTTCTGTTGCATACTGCAGAGTTCACATTACTAATGAACAGTTGGGTGGCCTGTTTCCCTTAAAAATTGTGGGCAAGATTGTTATTAGGACCGGATACGACACAAAAGGACCCTTGAGGCATTGGTCAAGCATGGCTGGATTGGGCAACAGTAGAACAGCTATCAAAGATGGTGTGGAAAGCAACATATGAAGTTACCGAGAAGAAGCTGAATACTTTGCTTGTTAACTCCTATTGATAAATATGGATACTGTAGGATTTCTGTGGGATGAAGCTGGAGGTTTCAGCTACTCACCAGCTGAGACTGTGCTTAAGATAAGTCCATGCAGACCTGTTGGAGCCTCTTAGAAGAGGTTCTACTAACACAAAAGGGAAAGACCTCAATCTAGACATAGGAGAGAGCTTTGGTCAACTAGATGTTTTGGATTGCCACTCCCAGAACCCCATGGCAGGATGGACAGTGTTAAGGGTTCATGGTAGCTCTGTTCCAGAATGTGGAGGTCCCAAGTTTCTCCACCATATATAAGTCCCTAGCTCTCAGTTTAAGCCCCATCATGCCTGGTGTGAAGCAGATGATCTACTTTATTGCTTTTGATGACTGTGCCTCTTCTAATTTCCTAAACTAAGTTCATTGACAAATGGATAAACATGCATTACCCTAAGCATGCATTGCCCTAAAATACACTTACTGTGCTAAATTTTGAAAGCAATGAAATGAATATTTAGCTCCCAATTTTCCAAATTAATCATTACAAGTCCTTTCTGCTGCTCCTCAAGGAATTTGAACCACTGTTTGGACTGATTGTTCTTTTTTACCAATCTTTGTTTTTTGCTAATTGATACATACAGCTGAAGAGAGAAGGCACATTCTTTGTATACTCAGCTGAATTGGCGCTCTTTATATAAAGGTGCATAAAGCACATCTCTCCCTCCCCCTCCCCCCACTTCCCCTGCTTAGTAGGAGTTGATGAAATTCATTCAAGCAAGCAAGGAAAGAGAGAAAGAAATGAGGTGCATAGAACATCTGGCATAAATAAATGGCATGTTATAAAGAACTGGCCATCTAGTGCTGGAGCCTTAGAAATAAGGATACAAAAGGTTTGTGTAGTCTTACTTTGAGATTACAAAGAACCCAAGTAATAATTTTGAACACATTTAACATTAGTTGAAACAAATGTGACATTTCAAATTTGAGGTCAACAAATGCAAGAATACTTATTTCTTCGAAGTAGTGCAATTTACAAAATAGCTGACTGAATCGACATACAAAAGAGAAATGGAACAAATAGGAAATAAACACATATTTTCCATATGAAACATAGAGTACTGCAATGCTGACACTGAACTCAGAAATCTATTAACCGTCATATCCATACCCACAAAATCCAATGATTTGTCAAACCTATCTGTGCCATTTCCTTGACATCAACAAGGGCCAAAAGTAACAAACAGGAACTAGGGATATAAAGCTGCATCTACATCAGTGAAATAATCTAGGGCAGTGCCCTGGATACGGCATGGAAAACCCAGCCCTTTTGAAGTCCAGATAGCCAGTTAGGCCAACAATATGTTGGGGCTTCCACTGATTTGCTATTTTTTACCTGAAGCATCCCTAAGACTTTTGCTAAGAAGTAAAACCCACTAGTTCTGCTGGAATTTAGAGACTACAATTTGGTGGCTTCACCCAGTAGAAGTATTTTAAGACATTGAGTTTATAACACCTTCCATCCGTAATACTTCTGGAGGATGAGAGCTGCCAAATGTTCTTCCTAAAGATCATCTCAAGGACTATCTCAGGGAATCAGCTCTAAACTCCAGTTGCTAGGGCAACAGGGAAATTACAAGATATTTGTTCTTTCCTTACCAGTATTTTCTTTGGTACATGCTGTTGAAATCTCATAGGACTAAGCTGAGTGAGCAAGTTTGAAACAGAGTAAAAATAAAAACTTCCATGTTCTCAAGCAATCATTGAGTGATCCTTTTCAGAAGAAAAGAAAAACTGGCATCCAAGCATCAGTGGACATTTTCAGTTCTAGTAATGTTTGCTTTTGCACAAGTATATCTATTTATTTATAGATATAGTTGTGCAAAAGCAAACAGATCCCTGTACAGTGTTCCCTCACTTATCACTCCTGTTCCATTCCAGGACCACCCGCGATAAGTGAAAATCCACGAAGTAGGGATGCTATATTAATTTTAATATTTATACATTATTTTAGCATAATATAGATATATTAAAATTAATATAGCATCCCTACTTTGCGAATGTTCTTACCCGTGCTTCCTTACCTTCCTCCAGAGCTATGCAGGCAGCAGCAGGCCAGGGAGGCAGGCCTTCTCTGCCACACCTCAGGCCGCTGCACTTCCAGGGTCTGCAGAGGCCAGGGAGGCAGGAAGCATAGTGGCCTGAGGCATGGTGGGAAAGGCCACCATGGAGGCCAAAGAGGCAGGAAGCATGGTGGCCTGAGGTGCAGCGGGGAAGGCCTGTCTCTCTGACCTCTGCAGTCCCCAGCAGAGCAGCAGCTTGAGGCATGGTGGGGAAGACCTGGCTCCCTGGCCTGCTGCTGCCTGTGTGGTTCCATAGGCTCTGCCGGGGCCTGTGGAAACCAGGGAGGCAGGTAAGCCCCCTCAGGATGGGCTGGGAGAAAGAGCAGCCACAAAAGCACTCCAAGTTATGGGAGGGCAAGCAGAGCCAGCGGAGTGAGTCCCAGCCCACACACCAGCCTCCCTTTCTTTTGTAACATATGTAAATATTTATTTATTATACATTTATTTTATACTAATATTTACAAAAAAAAATCCATGAAACAGCAAGTCCGCATAAAGCAAACCGTGAAGTAGCGAGGGAACACTGCATATTGAACGTGACTAACAGTGGTCTGGTTCAGTATAAAAGGGATCTTGTAACATCTACAAGACTAACAGAGAAAGAAGTCGGCAGCATGAGCTTTTGCAGACTTAAGACTACTTCATCAGATGCAAGTATGTGTATATAATGTGCACATGTAAAATAAATATGTGTAATTGCTGTCGTGACATGACATATGTTGGGGAACAGGACCATATTTGATCTACTTCATATCCAGATGTTAACTAAGACCCAACTCACAGGCCCAATTAACATTGATATCTATCCAGATATCTAACTTCTAACCAATTTAAATTACAAATAATATGTCCCTTTGATTTCAGTTGATCTATTATATTTATTACTTATTTATTGTACTTATACCCTACCCTTCTCACCCGGGGAACAGGACTCAGGGTGGCTTACAAACTATGGCAATAATTCAATGCCAGATTCTGACAATAACAATTGTTGTTGTTCATTCATTTAGTCATTTTTGACTCTTCGTGACCTCATGGACCAGCCCATGCCAGAGCTCCCTGTCAGCCGTCACCACCCCCCAGCTCCTTCAAAGTCAATCCATTCACTTCAAGGATGCCATCCATCAGGCATGTATTGGGGGGGGGGGGCTTGAGGGGCTTTAGCCCCCCCCCAAAAAAAATTCTCATGGTGGCCCATGAGAAGGCCTTACTGGTACATTATTTAAACTGTTATATTTATTCATATCATGATCTGATCACCATGCTCAATATATCCCATATGCATGGGGTATTGGGGTAATGATACAAAAGGTTTGCTAGGGTAGACCCTCTTTCACTCAGACTCAGCCCCCCCCTGAAACAAACTCAGCCCCCCCCAATGATACCATCCATCCATCTTGCCCTTGGTCGGCTCCTCTTCCTTTTTCCTTCCATTTTCCCCAGCATAATTGTCTTCTCTAAGCTTTCCTTTCTTCTCATGATGTGGCCAAAGTACTTCATCTTTGCCTCTACTATCCTTCCCTCCAATGAGCAGTCGGATAATAGCAATAACAATAAAACACAATATTAAAATTGTGAAAACACATACAATGTGTTAAGCCAGTGTGGTATAGTGATTTAAGTATTGGGCTATGACTCTGAAGAACAGGGTTCAAATCCCTATTCAACTATGCAACCCACTGGGGGGGGGGGGCTTGGGCAAATCACACTCACTTTGCCTCAAATGAAGGTAGTGGAACTTCTGAGCAAATTTTGCCAAGAAAACCCTGTAATAGATTTGCTTTGAGGCCGCCATGGATTGGAAAGGATTTCCAATCCATCTCAGTGTTGGGGACTGTGCTTCAGTGACTTTGAATGCTCATGCTTTAAGAATGGCTTTTGAACTTCTATTTTTCAGACAATAGGAACTATCATTGAATGAATCACCCTTTTTCTGTTCAATTCATTGTCAATGTTTGTGCTCCTCTGTTTTCCTCTGTGCTCCTTATTAAGGTGATAGGTCACAGATAGCTGTTACACTTATTCTGCACTGTGAAATACGAAGACTGTAATCTTCTCAGGAGGGCAAATTGGAATGACTGACTATGGGTCAAACTGAAGGCTCACAAAAGATTTAGCTTGTGTATGAGTGTTGCAATAGAAGTATACCTCTGTGTAAATTACTCTTGAGTTATCAAACAGCTAATTGCTACAAGCAGAAAAGACAGTGAATAATTTCAGTGTACTAAGAGGGAAAAGCACGAGTTTCTTTAAAAAAAAAGACATTGAGATTATGGGCTCTGTTGTGTTTCCAGTGTGACTTCTGTGTCTCATTATTCCTTCACTTGCTTAGTAACAGACACTGATTATAACAGACCAGTGAATTTAATAATAGGCATGGTTTTAAAAAAATTGGAGTGGTTGCTGTACCTGGTTCTGATCACGGAGCTTTGATAGAACTCAAATAGAAGGATTTAAGAATGCAAAAGCAGAAACTCTCCTGTTATCGGGTCAGCATTTTCTTGACCTTTATAAATCTTTTGATTAAATCAGGAAAGCATAACAATAATTTATGGAAAAAAGATCTGGAATCTAAGCAGAATCCTCATTTAAGAAGTGGTATTCAAAAGGAACTTGTTGGATGAGATGAGTTCACAGACACAACCAGCTTTCGTAAAGATCTAATATACTAGGAATATTAATTCTATTCCTATTCGATTTGAATGAATATTAATATTTTGAGGTATTCAAGAATGGGTAACATTAGAACCACTATTTTCATTTCAGCTTCATTTCGAAAAATAAAATTGGAACCAAATGCCCCTGGATAGTGTAAATAGAACAGATATAGCTAAATCATAGCTTTAATTTGGGTTTTAAAAGTTATTTATTACTGCACTCTATCTCTGTGTCATATTAACACAGGCTTTGGATATGAGTATAATATATGAACCAGCAACTATCTCAATTATAATCTGACATACTGCTGATTAGTTTTGAAAAGAGTCAGTTAATAATAATACATTTCATTCCAACCTTCCTGCACTTTCTCATTTTAAATCTGAAAGCAGTATTTTATGAAAAACTGAGCTAATATAGTTGGTTCTCCATATCCACAGATTCTGCATCCATGGAGTCAACCATCCATAGTCTGAAAATCCTCAAAATATTTTCCAAAAAAGTGATTGATTTTGCCATTTTAAATTAGGGACAGCATTTTACTATCCCACTGTATGCAATAAAACTTGAGTATCCATGGATTTTGGTATCCATAGTAAAATACTGGAACTAGATCTCATCAGTCTCAAGGGTGCATTATATATCAGATGTCTCCCATGAAAGCTTTTCTTACAACTTTTCTGGGAATTTTAAAAGAAGCACTAAATAAGCCTCCAAGGAGTTAAGAGGCTTAACTGAACCAAGTTGCCCATTTGGCCTCTTTGGTATTCACTCCTGCCAGTTATTTTCTGCTCCTAGATACCCTTTCCTGCTCCTAGATACCCTGCCCCACCCCTCAGCATACTGATTTGTGGTTGCCTTTTTCAGCACATTTCTTACCTCCTCCTGTTGCCGATGATTGATGAGCAGGAACACTCTTTCCGAGTCAGCACTAATGTGACTTACTACCTGTATCATCTTGGAAGCTAAGTGTGAAAATACAGTGCATTGCAGTGCGTGTCTCTGGAGAGGAGTGTCATTTGTGTAGCACCATGCCTTGTAACTCAAGTGCGTCGCTATATTTAGAGCTTCCCATCACTGGCAGATCAACAGGCTGTTGTTACACTCAAATTGACTTTGAAGGATACTTGGCTTGGAGCCAGTGCCAATGCCTCCCCCAACCCTCCTGGCTCTTAAAAGCTACTTGACATCACAGGTGGAAAACATGAGATGCTGTAGGAGTCATTGAAGACCATTCAGCACAATATGCCTGACCTTTTTAGGCTTATATTAAATCCTTCTTATTTTTCACATCACATCTTTCAATCCCTTGCTTCTGCAGAAATAAATCTCAGTGACTTTTAAAAATTTTATTTTATTTTTGAAAAACAGCATTTTGCTTCTGGGCAGTTTTCCAGCAACTGGAATTGAGGGATATGGTTCTAAAGAAAATAAAGTGAAGAAGGGAGGTTAAAGGCCAACTCTGAAAACATTTTAAATGGTATTGAAGACCATTCTGTCCCTCAATGAAGCATACATATTGTGGAACATTGTGCATCCAGACCACACATTCTTTCTTTAAATAATTGGGATTTGGGTTTGTTTCTCAATATGTGTGAATTTTGCCAGGGGTAGGCAAAATTCAGTCTTAGCTGCTTTTATTTATTTATTTATTTATTTGCCTTGTTGTATGCCTTCAAGTCATTTCCAACTTATGGTAATTCTAAAGTGAACCTAAGACTGGGTTTTCTTGGCAAGATTTGATTGGAGGGGTTGCCATTGCCTTTCTCTGAAATAGAGAGTGTAAAACTTGTGCAATAATAATAATAATAATAATAATAATAATAATAATAATAATAATGTCACAAGTACCACCTGCCAGCAGTAAATAATTGCAAAGGTATTGGAAAATGAACATGCAAAAATACTGTGGGGGCTTTCAAATCCAGACTGACAAAGTTTTGGAACACAATACACCAGACATCATGACTGTGGAAAAGAAAAAAAGTTTACATTATTGATGTCGCTATACCAGGTGACAGCTGCATTGATGAAAAACAACAGGAAAAACTCAGCCATTATCAAGACCTCAAAATTGAACTGCAAAGGCTCTGGCATAAACCAGTACAGGTGGTGCCAGTGGTCATCGGCACATTGGGTGCTGTTCCATAAAACCTCAGCCGGCATTTGGAAACAATAAACATTGACAAAATCACGATCTGTCAACTGCAAAAGGCCAGCTTACTTGCATCTGCGTGTGTCATTCGAATATATATCACACAGTCCTAGATGCTTGGGAAGTGTTCAACTAGTGATTTTGTGATATGAAATCCAGCATATATATACCATTTTCTGTGACATACAGTGTTTTTGTGTCAATAATAATAATAATAATAATACTTTATTTTTATCCTACCTTATCTCCCCAAGGGGACTCAGAGTGATGGTTTTTTTAAAGGCAGGGATATAATATTTATCTTCATTGTCAATGGATGAAAATTGTAATTGTATTTGAATAATCTTATTTTTAAATAGATTTATTGACTGGACCCTAACATTATGAGCAACAAATGCTCAGTGAAGATCTATCTATCAATCTATCTGTCTGTCTGTTTGTCATTCTGTCCTATTGATAAAATTCACAATGTACTGCCTGATGTGCTGCTTGATATTTTCCTCTTCTAGACAGAGTCCCTATCCATAGCTCCTTGTAGAGCTTTGTTGGGCTCTGCTGCAAGAGGGACTCTGGGGCCTGAATACTGCCATCCAGCTTTGCTGCCTGCTCAGCCCTGGGCTTACCCACAAGGAGACCTGCAGCCACACCCTCATTCCAGCCAGCTGACCCAGCAGGGAGAAAACATGGCCCCCGCAACCTCACTGCACTGCTACTTTAATGGCCGTGCCACCCATTGCCCGGCTGCCGGAATACCTGTGCTGGGTGCCTCCATAGCCACGCTGCCCATCATTTGGACATTGGAACACCTGTGTGGGCATTCATTTTCGGGGTTTCCCTGCCTCTCCTGTTGCGTCACACCACTTTTTCCATCAGCCCACTTTGGTTGGGATTCAATGTTTACTTTTAAGCTCTTTTTTGTATTTATATTTGAATAATTGTATGTTTATTTTTAAGCTTTTTATTGTATTTCTATTTGAATTACTTCTAAGCTTGTTATTGTATTTATATTCGAATTATTATCTCATGTTTATTATTGTATGTTTAAATTGATATGTTATTTGTTTAAATTCATATGTTATGTTTATTATTATATGTGTAATGTGCCATTGTGTGCCATGGATTGTAAGCCACCCTGAGTCCCCCACTGGGGTGAGAAGGGTGGGGTATAAATGTAGTATAATAATAATAGTATAATTGTATATAACATCAGGCAGAGTGCATAGAGTTCCACACACATACCTCTGCACATGCAGCAAAAGGAGAGACTGACAGCATTACTAATGAATATTTGTACTGATCACATGTTGGAAGGTCACCAAGATTCATTCCTCCACCCTTTCTAGTTGTTTAGCAGTTTAGCACAATAACAGAGTATATTATTAGAGTTTATTGAATGCCCATTAGCAAATCTAATCCAGCAGTTTTGCTATATCTGAGGCATTTTAACTCCAGACAGTGCATTGGACCTATAGAATATATGTTACTTATGAATAAACTTGCACTGGATTGATGTGAATTCATTTATACAGTGCCAAAAAAGGAAAAGTTGTCTTATATTAAAGAAACATATCTAGTTGAACAGCTTAACAAGAATTCTGTTGCACTGCGGATATTACAATATTATCATACGGGCAGGATAAATTTGGTCTAGTGCAGTTTGTGTAATGTATCTAAACTACTCCCTTCCCTGACAACTTGATTGAGATTTTATTAGTGAAACTAATATGCAAAACAAATATGGAATGTCTAGCCTTTAAGGAGGTGCTTGTTTTATAATGCTTTCAATCACATTTGCTGCAGCTTCTGAGAACATGCTGTGCTTTTCCAGCCTTTGTAATTTATTATTTGTTTTCTCTTGACTTTTCTTTTTTAAAAAACAAAATTATTATTATTTTATCCCATGCAGTGGGAACACTTAATGTGACAGCTCCAAAGCTGATAAGTAAGTACTATTAATTGTTATCCCCATTCCCTTTTGGGTTAGTGATACAAAGTTCGTAGTGAAGTCACATAATCAGTCTGGGTAGAGTGTCATACTGTTCAGTCAGTTTCCTATTTTATATTACCCTAAAAATTATGAAAGTACCCCCAAACCCTTAGATATTATTTGGGAACATTTTTAATTCTTTGGGAGCCCTGAAGTACAGAAAACAGCCCTGAGAACTGCATGTAGCACATAGGCAACAATTTTCATACCCCAGCTCTAGATGACTTGTAGCTTCCAGCAATCCCAACATTGGTTCTGCTGACTGGGTTTGCTAGAACCTGAGGTCCAAATATATATATGGTTGTATGGTTCTCACCTCTGCACTACCTAATCTTCTCCACCAGTTACAATGAATAGGACAATACCTCACTACAAAATCTAAACAGACACATCTTCCATTAAAGTATACTTGATCGTCCCCTAAAAGCTGTTTGTGAAGCAATTTTTTCTTCCTTTTCCATTGTTTCCTGTATTATTATTTCTCCAAAGCTTGGAAATGACACCTCAAAAGAAGGCTTCTGTCAGTTTGACTGGCAACTCTTGAGTGAGAAATACTGAGTAAAATAATTACCTTTTAAATTCATTCCTTAGAAGAAGAAAAAGGAAGGAAGATAGTTCAAGAAAAGAAAGCTTTTCATGAAGTTAAAACAAAAGGTAGGATATTTATTGTTTTAAAGTGTGACAATTAATTTACTTGCTCTTCAAAGAACTCTGCCAATTGTAGTTCTTTAAAAAACAAAACAAATTCATCCTGTCTTGATTTCTGTCTTAGATGTTGAGGACAGGAGAAAAATAACCCATACGAAGAAAGCTATTCCTGAAATTAAAGTGAAACGTAAGCTATTTGCACAAGGATTGTGTTGTTTGATTTTTACTGATTTCAATAAATTCACAGGGTAAATTCAATCAGCCAAGTCACATGTTGATCTATCTAAATGTGACAACACGGAAGTGGTAGAAACAGGAGGCTGTTTCTTTATAGTGGATCAATAAGTGATATGATTTTGCCTGCACTTAGTTCCCAGACTTAAGAGTTAATCAATCAAAGCCTTCCATATGGATAGATGAATCTCATATCCTTTAGCATTTCACAAATAAAAAGCAAGATATGATTGTCCAAACAACAGCTGTGTGGGCAAAATGGCAAAAACTAACCATATGTAAAGAAGAACACAGAAGCTAAGGGAGGCTGCAGCAGTTTGCTTTTGCCTGAAGCTATGAGGAATGCAAGGTTCTGTCTGCTCTGCCCCAACTCAGTTTATTGAGTACAAATTATTTTGTATCTAAAGAATTGAGATGAGAGGGGATTAACTCAGACTATCCCCGCCAAATCTTTATATTAATAGTGACACTTCCAGTGTTTGAGGTAAAGGCCACACAATATGGTTTAAGTGTAGAATACATCATTTACGAATTTTGTCCTACATTCATTTTTTTATTTTTAAAAATCTTATATTCACTCCAATCTGAATATAAGGACATTTGCAGATGCTGCTAAACTTTACAAAAATGAAATGAAGCAAAATCCTTACCCATTCCTATTCCACACATGTACAGACTTAAAACAGCAATTTAGTGACTATCTTCTGATTGATTACTTCCTATGGTTCAGTTCACATGTTTACGTCTATTGAAAGGACCTGTTTTCTACTGAAGAGTCAGGCAAACACTATCACCTCTACTATTCTCATGCCTGTTTAACAGATAAACTAAATTCTGCAATTTAGATTTTGTTTTGTCTCCCTTTTATGTGGAATTGCATGAATTCATCTAGTCTCAGCCAGCTGTCATTTGTAATTCCTTATAAAACAACATTGCTTTTTATATTCATGTCTTAGAGTTGGAGGAAGAAAAGAAGGGAGCACATGAGAAGAAAGATGTTTCTGAAATTAAAACAAAAGGTAGGCTGTTGGACAATCCATTTGGTTTGTCTCATTTTTGAGCAGGTTACAGTCTAGAGTACATATTCTCAAGTGGTAATATATGGTAACATATATTTTACATGGAAGGAGGTATTTGTTTCCATGGAAGGACACATTCCCCTTTCTGTGGGAAAAGTTTTATATTATTAGTGACACTTCCAGTATTTAAGGTGAAGGCCACATTATAATGATTTTCTTCCCCACCAACAGAGCCTGACTGAAATGAAAGTTGAATCTTACCTAAACTGCAGGGTTAGATTAGAGTTCATCACCATAAAGGAGGGGATGGAGGACAGTAAATGGATACTGGTGCCTTGTGCTATCAGCACAGGAAAAAAACAAAACAAATGGATAGTAGCCATGACATCAGTGCTTCACCTTCTAGCCAGCCAAGGAGCTCCATGAAGCTTCTGTCTGTTGTGGACACCTCTGCTGACACTGAAATAGAGTAGCTATGTGACCAGCATGAAGTAGTGGAAGCAATCACCTCTCCTTCCTGATAGAGTGGATATCCATTCTGACCAAGTTACCAGGAAGAAGAAAGGGAGATTGGCTATTTGCACAGGTGCCTTTGCCAAGGTCAAAATGTGGTGCCTGTGCAATCAGGAAGAAGAAAGAGTAATTTCCCTTCTTCACGTTAGTCATGCAGGCATCTCATTCTGATATCCATCAAGGTGCCCATGATGACCAGGAGCTCATGAGGAACTCCTTGACTGGGTAGACACAGCAGTGATGGTGACACAGAGAAGATAAGGTGTGGCTCACTCTAGAGGAGTACTTGTGTTTTCCTTGGCTGTGTAAATAACAGCCCCAGATTCCTACAAGCGTGCTCGATCCAGGGCCACTCTGGGGCACCAGGCTAAAGTGCCTGGTGTAGTCTTATTTTGTGGCTCAGTAAATAAAATGGATTTGACCCAGACTTACTAATATTTAGAGTAGACTCAGGAAATCAATACTTCAGTTAGTCGTGAAATTTTGATTTGACCTAGATAGACACAAAAGCAAAGCAAAGAAAAGAAACCCTAAGAAGATGTCACATTTTCTTCCCTGTGCTGGCTGAATGCAAATTGAAGTCCATGATTCATATTTCCAGTATTAAAAACTGCTTCCTTTTAATTAATTTTTAGAAAAAAAAGAAGAAAGAAAGAAAGCTCCAGAGAAGACAGCTGTCCCTGAAGTTAAAAAAGCAGGTAAAAAAACCCAATCTGTCACTCTTTTGACTGAAATCCCATTGTTATATGTGTGTACATTTTTAGACTTTACAAGTTTAACTAGAGGGGTATGTAAATTTGGAGCTCATTAAACTCTTTCTTTTTTTAATGTTATGAAGTTAGTGTTTTTGATGGAAACAATTCTCACTTTTCTCCAGTTACATATTCTGTGGCTGAAATTTTTACACATGCTTGGTTTTATTGTCCTTCATACAATTTATTTTTAAAAATTTCCATACGCCCTCCATTTATGAAATAAGGCTCTTTTGACATAGGTCTTTGCCTTGAAGACATCATGAACTCTGAGATATCCCAAGACCTGCTATGAAGAGACCAAGAGTTCTGAGATATTAAAAAAACCTTTTGTGCTCATGGAAGCAGGGAAAATCTGAAGGGAGAGCAGTGTCTTTGCTCATTTCCCCTCTGCTTCTAATTCACATTCCATCATGGATCTACTTCCCACACAAACATATCTCAGCATGCCTCCTTCCTGTTGTCCAGTGCTAGAGTCTTGGCATCAGAGAAGAAAGGTATAGATACTTCTGTGGTGTTTCCAAGCATCATGAAAGGTCTTATCTCCCTCTCTGGAAGCATGCTTCTCAGAAGTAAAAGCAGATGGTACTACAGGATTCCTGCTTTGTAGCTTTCTGTGTCTTACCCTTATCTTTCCCACTCTGTTATCACCTTTTTTATTCCTCAAGTGACTTAAACCACATCAAGACTTCCTTTCTTGGTCTGAGGCACACATGGATTGTACTGTTTTGAGTAAAAGGCATCGTACATATATATTAGTTCTGCAACATTGCTTGGGCACTAGATACTTTTATCTTTTAATATTTGATTTTTTCTTCTCTTTTTTCTCTTCCTCTTTTTTTCAGCTCCCTTCCACTTCCCAAATCAGCTGCTTGCTTTAAAAATACTCTCCTTATTCTGTTCTCTCCTCCATTATTCTTCCCTGCATTCAAACCTAATGTCTTCTTTCATTTCCCAGTCCTTATCTTTTTCTCCTCTTTTTCTCCTTCCTTTCTCCTCTACCACCATCTTGCCTAGTAACATTCATGATATCCCCTCTCATTTCTTTCTCTTTGCACCCTCCTCCAGAAAATCTTGCAATCCTAACTAGTGATATATTAGAAATTCAGCATTTAAAAGTTGTCTGTCCTACTGAATTTTCTAATCCTGGCTGCACTTTTGTAAGCCAGGTGATCATTCCTATGTAGTAATTGGGAAAGAGTTGCAGAGTGAATGGCCTCCTTTCATCTACCTTTGTGCATTGTATAGACAAAGTCAAGTTCAATTCCACATATTAAAGCCATGGATAGAGATACCACTGACCGGAAAGAAATAGCCCACAACTTTATTTAGTTACAATAGTAAATAGAGTTGACACCCACATGGGTCTAAATCCAGGCACCTACCAACCTAGTCCCATGCAAAATCCCATGGTACAGCATCATTAGTAGCATTTTTATAACAATAGTGCTTATTTTGAGGGAGAAAGGAGGTCCCATATCCTGACTGTAAAAAATAGAAAAGTGTCCAATGATTTAATGGGAATAGCCCAGAAAAATATTCTTTGGAAAATATGTTCTGTCTGAATAAGTTTATTTTGTTGGACTATAACTGTATGTTGTTAAAGGCAGTGCTTACAAAGGTATTAAATACAGAACTGGGAAAACTGTTTTTTTTTTCTCTCTCTCTCTTTAGTGCAGAACTTGGAAAATGTTCTTTCCAACCAGAGAAACTTTTTCTCATGTGTTAGACTTTGTGCTTTTTATATGAAAATCACAGTGGGCAACTCCAATTGGTGTTTGAGGTTAATGACATCTCTAGGGACCATCTCTAAGCCTCCAGCTTTGACCCTGGAATCTCAGGATGTGAGATGGCTCCTAATTTTGCATCCTTTGAGATACTGTCCAAGGGAATGTAAAACTTCACCATTAATCAGTAAAATAAAATAAAATATTTCCATTTTCAAATTTAAAAGTGGCACCTGAGGTGTGAAATAAATGGACATTTTTTTCAGGTGAAATACAGTTTGCAAAAGATCAATCTCAAGTAAAAATAACTATCAATGTAATCCAGTGTCTATATAGTTCAGCAATTGCAATATGCAGGTAACTGATGAAGAGATGGCAATGTTCATGCCCTTGACTTATTAGAGAACCTGCTGTTTTAAACATAATCAGCTTTTGATAATTAAACCAAATTACCAACACCTTTAAAATCCAAAGATGAAGTTTCTGAGTTTTTTAAAAAGCAAATTTCTTGCACTTTTAAATTAATTCATAGAACGTTGGTACTGTAAGCAAATATCTACATAGATGTCCTCTTCTGCCTTGGTAGCCCTAGATTCAACTGCCCACTGTTGAAGAGACTACATTTGTGGCTGAAAACATTAGGTTGGGACCTGTGTCCTTAATCCTGAATTAAGAGCTTTTGAGTCTTCACTGTGCTTATTTTCATCTTCCATGGACTCAACAGGATACCTTCTGCTTGGTACATCAGCCCCATCCACTCTGGCCTGAACATATCCTGCCATGGTTGTGGCTGCTAAGCTGTGCTGATCTATTATTTGGATGGTAGGAAACCAGAAAATCCTATTTGAAAACCTGGAGAACTACTGTCAATCAGTATTTGCTAGGCTAGATGTAATAATGGTCTGAACCAATATAAGATAGCTTCCTATGATGCTGATTTCTGTACTGTTGTCTTTTACATATATATCCCACCATACCTCCCATATGCTCAAGGAAGCATACAAGGTTCCAGTTACAACTAAGGGAAACTCTCTAACTGAATTGTAATCACCATTTAAAAGACACTTATCAAATTAAATAGTTTACGTTTCCATTTCCATAGGGTTGTACAACACACTGAAGGGCTCAGCTTCATATGGACATCTCAATGACATAAGAAATACATCTAGCATTGAATGTAAAACATAATTCTATATGTAGCATTCATGATCTGGGTAGCACTTACATGAGATTCATTTTCTTCTGCAATTACAATATGTTGATATAACATTGCAGAAAAATATTATCAAAAGTGTATTTGAAATTCCAGAAGGCAAACTATTAAATTGAGAAATAGCTTTTGGAGCATTATTTAAATGTCAAATGTAAATATTATAATATAATTTATAACAGCATGGCTACAAGGCATATGTAAAAATTGGCTCATCTGTGAGGAACAAATTCTTTCTTTTTCTTTGCCTTTTCTTCTGGACCAGTATGGAAATAAAGAGCTTCAGTTGTGACAAAATAATTCATCCTCTTCATTGCTACTAAGCCTGTGGGTGTGATTTACAAACAAAAACAGCCAGGATATGTGCACTTAAGAAGTAATAACAAGAGACATGATTTACCTGCATTTTAGTTTCATTAGAGGGGGGAAAGAAAAAAGAGTTTAGGATTGTAAAGTATATCCTCCACCCCTAATTCCAGCCTGCTGCATTTATTTGGGTTTTTAACTTACAAAGGGCCTGAACATGAAAATGTTGGCTGATATCCTACCTTTTCCTGGCCCATCCCTGCAAACTGGATGGAAATGTCCTTCATCCATGCTCTGTTTGTTGGCAGAATGGGACAGAGTGGAAATAGTGCCACTTATTATGACTAAGTAGAAATTGTTAATATAGAACAGTTATCTAGATTTAGCCTTCTGTTACTGTTAACTAAGTATCCGATGAAAAATACTGACCATAATATGTGAAAAACTATGTAGCTGGATGTTAACTGCAACATTTAAAATCCAGTAGAAATAAAAATGCCACTGAAATAATTGCTTGCTCATGTTCAGCCATTAAACGGGCAGATAAAAATCAAAAACACTGTAGCTGAAGTCGTTTTGCAGAGCCCTTTCCAAATTGCATAGAATAGTTCAGAAAGATTTGGTATGTAACAGCAATGAAATGTTGAAAAGTAAATTCCAAGATAAGTAATTACTTTTGTCCAATTATGTTGGGGCCTCATCATCTTATATCCTCCTTCCCAGCATTAGTATGTGGACTGATCTGCACAAGCATCATTTCCCCATGGATTGACATGGGCCTTCTTAACAAAAAGCTCTCAAACCACTTTAGAAACTAAAGCAGGGAGAACCAATACATTATTTTATAAATCCTTTGGCAGTCTGTGGTGGCAACCTCAAGTAGCTGATTTAAAGTGAGATAAAATGGCAAAAAACTTAATAGTTATTACATTTATTATTGTTTTGCTTCATTTGGGAAGAGTTGTTCATAAAATTTTCAACCCCAGCTGTTAAAATGGCATGACTGACCCATGAAACTGTGAATTATGACTTAAATGTCATTAACACGCCCACTTCCTTCAGGGCATTACTCCTGAAACAGCAGTCTTGCTGGAAAACTATTACAGGCTCCACAACGAAGACCCATTTAGTGAGCAAACCCTTCAGGCAGCGCAGAGCATTGTGTCCTCCATCTCTGAAGCCAAGAAAGAACAGTGGATCAAGCTGATCACAGAGGTTGACATGGGCAGGAGCAGCCAGAAGGCGTGGAGGCTACTGAGACAGTTGAGCAACGACCCCTCACAAACTAATACCCATGCCAACATAAAGGCAGACCAGATAGCACACCAACTCTTGAAGAATGGGAAACCCAACTTTGCCACCAAAGTAGGAAAGAAACCAATAGCCAGACAACCAGAGATTGAGAACAACCTTCATGACCCCTTTACATCTACTGAATTGGACATGGCTCTCAATAAATGTAAAAATGGCAAAGCAGCTGGCCTGGATGATCTACGGATGGAACAAATCAAGAACTTTGGTCCAAAAGCAAGGCGCTGGCTGCTGGAGCTGATGAACAACTGCACTGCATCCTGTCAGATCTTCAAAATCTGGAGGAAAGCAAGAGTCATCGCCATCTTGAAGCCAGGCAAAGACCGCAATGACCCAAAAAGCTACAGACCCATCTCCCTGTTGTGCCACCTCTACAAAATTCTGGAGAGGCT